CTTATATAAATATTCAAGTTACATAGAGAGCCACATATAGAAATCAAAATTATAAGTCTTATGCTTTCTATATATTATATGCAATTAAAGAAGGAACAAAAAATATCTAACAGCAGAAAATTGTGTTTCAATTTACCCTACACTTAGCTAATAGAAGTGCTTTCTTATCTTCATTCTCAAACCAAAAAGTAAAAAAATAAAACAAAATTCCAACATTTTAACTCCTACGCTTTCTTTTACTTGTATACTTTCTAATAATTAGAAACACAGTTCAACTAAGCTTTCCTAGTCTTACCAACCCATGCATTGTTCACTAAATTCACTACACCAAAATTTCTTTGCTATTTCCTACACTTTTCGGGAACCAAACACAAACTTCAAGATGGAAAAAAAAAAAAAATCAACCTCAGAGAATACTGAGCCGGGACCAATGACGTGGTTGATTCCAGAAATCTATGAAGACTACTCTAAGAAACAATAGACTCCTCAGAGTCTGAAACGGGACTTAAAGGAGAAGGTTCCTTGAAGATCTTCCTATTTTCAAGAATTATATAAAATCTGTGAGGGTATCAGGTTCAAGATTTTCTATTCTGGTTGAAGAAAGCTGAAGAAAGGAGTCGGATTTCAAGAATACTGAATTGTATTCCACTATGTTGTTTCTGTACGAGGCATCTGTATATATATCTACACAGGTGTAAATTCAGATCCTAACATATGCCTAAACTTATGTACAGGAGCGTTGCTTTTAAATGTTGCTAAATCTTTGTGCTTTATGATCAATAGTTTCCGTGTTCTGATATTCTTGACAGTTGCTCAATCTCTCTATTCTGTGATCAGTAGTTTCCTTCTTCTGATATCTTGTTTCCTTAGTCCCGGCTTGGTTCGTGGATTGACTTTGTTTGTTCTGATGTATCCTTCATACGGGTAAATCTTATATATCAGCAATGGTCAGCACCCAGCACCCAGTGCCAGCAACCTTTGACAATGAAATTTCAAACCAGAATTTCTGGATCATGATTGAAGTCAACCATTATCTCTATCTTGCACAGATGGAAATTCTAATAATTTGTAAGTGCCTTTCTTTTTCAAAACAAGTAGCCTGTTATATCAAGCAAGAGTACATAAAACCACACGATTGCTTCCATTTCTTTGACAATCTAATAACTATCCCCCTCCGTAGCCTTCATCCTTTTACCATTTCTTCTCTCCATGATATCCACCTCAAATGGATGCCTACTTTTTCCTCCACTCTCTTTCATTACCCTCTTCATCCTTTTGATTTGTACCCCCATAGCTTGCTGTAATGATGATGATGATGATCAGCTGTATCTGACATGCAACAGCACCTACAATTGTGGAATCTTAAAAGACATAAGCTACCCCTTTTGGGGCAATGGCCGGTCCCAATTCTGTGGCCACCAAGGTTTTGAACTCCTTTGTGAAGAAGGGCAGTACTCCACAATGCATATTGGTGGACAGAAGTTTCAAGTACTGAATATAAGTCATTCAGCTTCCACAATAATGACCATAGCTCCTATAGGGATATGGGGACAAGATGCTTGTCCTGAGAAATTTATCAACGTCTCCTTGAGCCAAAGCCTTTTCACGTTTGCTCCATCTGCTCGGAACCTCTACTTCTTCTACGGCTGCCCTCCACAGATAGATAACATGCTTGTTCGGACCAGAATTAACTCCACCATCAATGGCGGTTTGCAGGATGCTTATTATGTAGATGAATCGCTGCTGAGGATCAATCTTCCCAACCTTACAAAGTGTAGCATCAGCATCTCTGTTCCTGTGAATCAGATGGCTTTTGAAGAGCTGTCCAGTGGAAACGAGGCTCTGGATATTGCTTTGAATGAAGGGTTTGATGTACAGTATACCTCAGTCATCATGAACTGTTCTGCCTGCCAGAATTCAGGTGGGAGATGTGGATCAAACATTACATCGCTTGAGTTCTTATGCCTCTGCCCTGACCAACCTTACCCTCGAATGTGTCTCAAACCAGGTACGCATGTTTATTCTTTTCACATTAACAAGATGTTTCTCTTCATTGTTTTCCTCTGTGATTCTTGATCTTAAACATCCTAAAGGAACTGTTCTAACTTAGGAAATTCAAAATTTTGACATTTAAACTCAACTTGCCTTCATAATCCTAGGTTTTGCCTAGTTAGGTGGGTTTTAATTCTAGTTCAAGTTATTAACTGGTGAATGTTTTTTCTTGAACTAGATGGACTGACTTAATTCGAGTTCGAGTTTTGGTTGTATCATAGGTTTGTAAAACAGAATTCGAGGCACTATTAGAATTCTATTGCAATTTTTAGACTTTGAATAATCTCTGTATTCTGCAGATGCTATTTCTTGGCAGTTTCATCCTTCATAGTCATAGAGGCAGGTCAAACTTCTAAATCAAATAATTATCTTTCTTCCTCTGACAAGAAAGATAATTGTACATTGAAAATTCTATGAAGCTCGCTATCTTTCTTTATTTCTTGGTCAAGTTTTAATATTCTAGGTAGCTTTTAAGTTTTCACATTATAATAGTACTATTATTATCGGAGGAAAAGTAGGGATGACATTGACCAAGACCTTCCATCCGGCTTTTTGTAAATATCTCATTAACTTGGAACAAATAAACCCATCTCATCATCTCCTACCAATTCCTTGCTCGTTTTCCTCCATAACTCCCACAAATGGAAATGCTTCCCCAACCCATTTTTTCATCCACTTTTGTGTGCATCATCACCATCTTCTCCATCTTGCCCTTTCTCCCACCATCATACAGCGATCGCTTGGATGAGTTCATAGAGTGTAGCCGTTCTGCTTCCTTCGAGTGCGGCCGCCTTGGAACCTTTCACTATCCTTTTTGGAACGACGATACTCCGGAGTATTGTCGGCCGCTTGGATTCTACTTGAAAGACTGCGAAGGAGTTCCCACAATAGAGTTTGGCCCAGATAGTTCATTCCTCCTGCAGCACGTAAACCCATCAGATTACAACAAATTGACCATTGCTCCAATGAATTTACAGTCACTTATTTGTTCCGAGACAGCACATCACGGAACTCTGCTGCCTTCTTTCTTCAAATTCTCTGAAACCAACAAAAACTTCAGTCTGTTCTATGACTGTCTTCCACCTCCTTGCGAACCGCCTGGAATTAGGATTGCTGATTGCGGACCCAATGGAACCTTCTACACGAATGATTCAAAACTTGAGGGGTATGATGATTGCGAGTGCGATTCTGTGGAAGTTGAGGTTAATCAGACGATTTTCAACAAAGTCCACAACGGGGAACTGACATTGGTTGATGCTTTGAACCAATTTTGCTTTGATGTGGAGTACAGCTGTAGTGCGGTTTTCTGTGATCAATATGAGGAGCTAGGTGGGAAATGCGTAAACAATTCGACTTCAGATCAGTATCTACGAGAAGCATGCCTGCATCATCCAGGTATGGATTATCTATGCAAAACCATTTGTTTTTAATTTGGTGTAGTGATTACGGGCTTAGGATCATTCTGTATTGGCATTCGCATTCAACACACAATTGAGTCTATACTATGGTTTCCTGGAAACTCACTGCTT